GTGGAATGAGGGAATGATCCCAAGCACTTGCTCGGGCAGGACAGCAGGACTTGGCCTTCAAACCCAGCCCAGGAAAGCAGTTCTGATGTTCTCCGGCCTGCAGCAACGTTGAAGACGCCTCAGAGGGCAGCACTGCTCAGATCCCCACCACTAAGATGTCCAGCTCTGWGGAGCCATCTGACTTCAGTCTTATAACCCAAAGCAGGGATGATACACAGATTATCACAATGATCTAATTTGGACAGCAACTTGGACAAAAAGCATGGTAGAAAAGCCCTCATGAATTCTTTAGCCTTGAGATAACACTGTAGGAAATGTAGAGATCGGTCTGACTCTGCTGAAGCTGCTGGACACGTTGGAGGTGGTGTCCTTACACAGCAGGGACAGGCATCACCTCCACCAAGAAAGTTCTTAACAGGTAACTCCTGCACACTTAGTTACCTCTCTGCACAAGAGAACCTTCACCCCACAGCACCTCGAGGAGGTGCAGATGTTTGATGCTACTCCCTTTCTACACCAGTTCCAAGGGGAGGCAGGTGAGGAGCCTCCCTAACCCCGCTGCCAAATCCACGAGCCCCCATGTGCAGGGGCTGCCTGTGCCCAGAGCACAGGGGGTCACAGGGGCTTTCGGGACAGAGCCTCCCACGAGCTGAACTTGCCCACAAGTGGCCAGTGTCGCCGCTCCACTTCACTCCTCCATCCCCTCCTTGTCAGCAGCCTAACTTTGAAGCAWGAGGAGGCATTTGAAATGAATATTGGATTTTGCCTTTGATTACTATTTAAATATACAATAGTAAAAGGTCTACGATTATTAATATTAACAGGATTGATTAATTAAAGAATTTTAAATGTCAAACTGCTTCTGAAATTAGGTAAGCAGAAGTGCAGTGATTTTTCCAATATTTCAAAGTCTGATATGAGCATAYTGCAATAGGTCTAATGTATTTGACAAGTAAATGATCCTCAGCTGAAATAATGTCTGAAGAATAGCTAGAAGAGTTCTACTCTGAAATGATAGYATACCAATAATATAAGCAGTTATAACAGCTGCAAGTTATCAACAAAACATGAATAAAAGCAGCATTTCATACTATGTATCAGAAAATACTAGAGCAGTTAAAAACTGACTAGCATGGAAATTCACAGGATAAAAAAGTGTTATGCCATATATATTTGTATTTATCACAGTGCCTATAAGCCTAGCTGGTTCATGATCTAGGTCATTTTGTTTTCAGAGGTATATAAAGCTGGTCAATGCAATAAGGATTCCATAGTCAAGGCATAAATGACAACATGCTTTGCAGCTTCACATATGCAGATATCTATTCCCCTATTTGTCCAGGCCACAAGAGGAGGCTTAGTGTTTCTTTCTTTTCTTTATTTTTTTTTTTAATTTTTGCAAGAGAAAATGATGAGCTCTCATGTTTTTCCTCGGTATTAAAGGCATCAGACTCATCTGATGAGTTGACAGAAAGYGTCAGTGTTTCGACTGAAGCGCTAACCATCTGCTCGAGGTTGTAGGCTTGACTGTCACTAAAAAAACAGAAAAAAAAGCCACAACTTCTTACAGAGTAAAAGGATAAATGCAACTACATGGATAGCAACTATAATTTGCAAGTGCCAGGAGTACTATTTACAAGTCTAYATTTTCATATAGAATTACAATATGCATTTACATGCTGTTTCTATAGTAGCGTCTCCCTATAGTGTTTCAAGTCTGGTTCAATTTTAGTTATTTACAGATGTTTAATATGTAGCATTTGATACTTTGATGTTTTCTTTGTTTTCTGCTACTTCATATGAAGTTCTTTGTTTTAAATAGCAGTTACATTACAATGAGTTGGGACATCTAACTCAATTAGTTTTGCAAAATGTCACAGAATACTATGAGAGAACTCCAGCCAGAAAGATGAAAGCTGTTAACTCAGGCAAACTAAGCCCCTAGCAAGTTATTACTCTTTTTATTTCTTGCGAGTATCCTGATTTCTCTAATCTCTACAGTGTGTATGGATTGTGTAACCATAACCTCACTGCCTCACATCTGCAAAGAACAGACAACCTTTTCAGATGAATGAAGAAGGATGACAAGAMCTGGGTACGTTTGTGAACTACTCAACTCCAAGACCATCAGTTACTGATAAAATAACATTTACTTCTACTATTGGGCAGGGTTTTTCCTAAGAAATCCCATCTTGGTCATACTTCTGTGTGTTATTTAGTAGTTTAGCTTCTTCAGTTGTAGTAACAATTATAATTATGGAAGATATTGCATAGTAAGAGTATGCAAGTCAACACAGGGAACTTGGTATTTACTCTATTGGCAGAGGAGAATGCACCAAAACAGAACTGAACTCAAGAACTTGATTTATTGACAAAAACTCCCAGTGCAGTATTTGATAAACCTTACACTACTTCAACCAGCCATCCAGGAGGACCATAAATTACATGTACATTAGTAAACCGATCTTGGACTGTCTTCTGGCATAAATTCTGATGAGAACAGAAAAGCCCAACCCAAATTATTATTTTTTCCTCCTCTAAAGCAGGATGGTAATATTCACACTCCTAACTAGGAAGAAGCCTAAATTAGCTTCTTGACCCTTGCCTAATTTGGCCCAAAGCCAAATACAGGAACTATTCTAATGATTTATTACAGCAGGAATTATTCTAATGAATTATTATAAAGAGTTGGGKTTGAGTGCCAGGGGATTTTATCTGGCCTGGTATTGTTTATTAGCACAAATGTGGTCCAATGTCAATCTGTGGGGGGGAAGACTTAGTCAAGAGAATCATCTAAAGACCATCACACCAGGGCACTGTTTTCCCTCGACCTAGTCAAGCTTCACTCATCTGAATAATGTCTAGAAAAAATTAGACAAGCTCTGCTCCTAATAATGACAGACATTCAATTTCCAGCAACAAATTACGGGACCTCAAATCAGCCATATCACTAGGGTTAATAGGATGTAATTTAGATTTTCTTTAATTATTAGAACTACTCTTTTCCTTTAAGAGTACATTATTAAAGACACCAAAATAAATTCATTGCATTAATAGTCCAATTATTAAACTGTCTCTGTACTTGAGTTCCTCAGCATTTATAAAGCTTTGTAAAGTGCTCTCAAGTTCTCAGACAAAAAAAAAATACACACTGTGTTTTGGAGGCACCACTGAAAGCTGTCTGACTCAAAGGATTTAAGGTACTAATGCAGCATTGATAAGATCCTTAGTATTAAATAAGTGCCTGCTTTATTTCTTATTGTGATAATTTGCTGGTATAAAGTGAAATTGGATGCCTGGTACAGATAATTTATAAAACATTCTTACTTGTATCCTAAACTCTTAGGAACTCTGGTGCTTTCAAACCAATAATGAAAGAAAAAATTCCAACAGTGATTTAGAAGTTCATTCATGTCAGCACTATCTCCTGGGACAGTCTTCAATGGAGACAACCATTTTGAAAAGCCATATGGCTTTTCACTAGCTTAAACATCTCAAAATTTATTAATCATTARCACTAGCTTCTGATGTCAAATAAGAAATGGAATAAACCTCTAATCTTGCTAAAGTGCTTCACAGATCAAAACTTCGGAGATCAAAGCTAAAACGCTAAGTTTGGAAAGTGATAACAACAATGAAAAATTAAAATTAGATAATGGTTTAAAATTTCTTTTCAGTAAAACAGTAGTTAAAAGGTGGTACTGTGGACTCCAGTGACAATGACACTCCTTATCTACATTAAGATATAACCACGCCAGTCTTACATTTTAATTAAGCAGAGCAGCATCATGTAGAGACAGACAAGGATTCATATCTAACCCACTCAGGACTTCAGAGACTGCTCTGGACTTGACAGAAATCACAGATGTCTCTTGAACACAAGAAGATAGAGGGAGATGGCCTAAAGCTTCACAAAGATGCCTGGCAAATGACTCCCAAACACCTAAGAATCAAGACTTAGCCTCCTTTTTTTCTCAAGTGAAGGCTTTAAAATGAGCTTACAAAAGCTACAGTAGAAAAAAACACTAGTGTTGAGAAACAGTTGCTTCTAAAATGGACTTTGAGCTTCCTATTGTATTGGTTGAAACTGTTAGAAAATTACTAAATACTGCAAGACAAAAATAAAAGTCTACAAGAAATGAAAACACTGCATCTCCTGAAAGTTTAACTTGAAATCTTGGCCCACAGAAGTGAGGATAAGTTGGAAGGGAGGAAAAAAACTTGCTTTAGTAATCATATTTTAGAGAATTTTTAGAGGGTTTGCAGTTTTATTATGTGCTTTGAGGCTAAGAAAACTCACACTGACTTTTATTAGGGTTTTCCATTTTCCTGAAGTGCTTGCCCTTCTCTCCCCACGCCCGCAACTGTGCCATGCTTGCAAAATATGCACTGTCACATTGTGACAATTATCAGTATTAATTTGAGAGACTTCTATTTGCTCTTGACTTTACTGTGGTTTAACATAAATTCACACTGACAAAACTTGTTCATTTATGTAAATTATACTATATTTTTCCTTTCTCATACAGGACAACATTTACTCTTTGCAATCTCTTGTTACTGGAATGCACAGAACAGACCAGGAAGGTCCGGTYTGCAGCACAGAGACACCCCCAATCTAGGCCAGAATAAAACAGAGTCAAGCTTGGGCATGTGCTAACTGAAAGGCAGAGCTTCTTAATGAGCTCAGGAACTCATGGACTCTRAACTGGTAACTCCATATCACGTAGACATATCATTTTGCTTGGAGCTAGCTGAGATATTTAGAAGAGCTCAGCCTTGCGAATTTGCTGCTCAAAATAAAAAGAATATTAAAGAAGTGATCCTTTTGCCATAATTATTAAGATTTTAGCATTCTAAAAAACAGRCAGACATCACACCAATAATCCAATATTTCTGCAGCTGACAGAGTACTGATTTCTCTCTCACATACACATTTTCCCCCCCTGCTCTTGCATTACAACATCTACGAGGAGATCCCATATGCTGATCGTAATTACCTGATGGTATTTCTTCAGGATGTTGTGCATTTCTGCTACATCTTCACTTGTTATAGTTTTGATGATATATCTTTTGTCATAGGATGTGTGAAAGCGGGCACCACTGCGCGCTTGGGAATCATTGGCAAGTGGTGCACTTCTTGTCAAGGAATTCTGTCAATTAGTTAAACAACATCAAGTTAGACAAAACATGCAAGATTCAATTAAAACAAGCTTAGAGCACTTAAAATTWTTTAACAGTATTTTTTCAAAGCATTTGCACTAGCTGAACTCTACTATAGCATGTATCTCAGATTGACAAATCATTTCAAAGATATTTGGAAAAGAAAAGAGTGTTTGGAGGAAGGAATTAACCATCAGTAATTTAAAAATTGCTCACGAAGTTCAATGAGATTTTGCTGCRCTTTGCTACATATGTTACCAGCTTTGAGGAGAAACGATATAGTCTTAAAAAAAAAAAAGAAACACCGTTTTACACCACAATAATTATACACACAGGATTMATCAGCAGTATCATTTTGCAACTGAGCAGTGTTTTTCTTGAGCCAGTGTGATGTGGTACAACATAAGACTGAGAGATTATGAGTTCTGGCACCAGAGCTATTCCAGTGATTTGGTATCTAGCCCATCACCATCCTCTTCCTCCTTTTGTAAAATAGACCCAGCTACCTTTAGACAAGCTCAAGAGCAGCTGATTAGTTAATTAGTTAAAGTTGAAGCTAATAGTTTGAATTTAAGGACATGGACACTWAAGTTTCCATATTTAGGGCCGCTTATACTTTTTAATTGTGTACAGGATTCCCACTGGCCTCCACTGGCCTTGAGCTTATTTAAATCCTGTCACATCTGTGAGATGCTTTCTGAATTTAATATTAGGTAAAAGAAAACCAAGACATTTTCCCACAAGGCTTCTTGGTTCAAATGAAATATTCAGGATCAGTAGGAAAAAAGGAATACATTGCCTAGATGCACAAAACTTTAAGAGTTTTTTCCTGGAATGAAAGCTTAATCATGACATTCATGTAAGAGAAACACATCTGTGCACACTACTCCTTTTTATAGCTAGGCTCAAAGAACCAGAACCATTATTAATGCCTGTGATTAAAAGTGATGTTTTCTTCTACTGTCCTCTAAATTCATGACTCATGAAAACAAGTTTTTGGGATAAATGCCATGGACTCAGTTCCTTCAACTGGCTTTTCATAGTCCCCTTTAACAGATGAGAGTCCTAATAAGACTGTGACCATCACTCCTTCTAGTCTCAGATACCTCCTTCACGGTTTTCAAAACCTGATGTTTCATAAGACCATGGTACGAAAACATGATTTATGGGAACTCAGAAAATAGAAACCTGCAGTAATACTTATTTCATATCTATTTTCAGATGTTCTGTCTTCAAATTCCTTCCCACTTCTCCACCACTGAAATGTTTATACACCGAGGAAGCCACCTCAACAGGAAAGGTATCATAAGTGCTTCAAATCCTCTTAATGTTACATTTGTTGTGGAAGTACTCCATTAGTTTGAAAACTGAATTATAAAGTTAGTCTTAGAAACCATCCTTCGCCGAAAGCCTCTGGCTTCTGGAGTCAGGGCAAGACCTCTTCAGAAGGGATGAGAAAGCAAAGATGATGCAGAGGACTCARGTTAGCGCTAAGGTAGCACACATGAACATTCTTCACCAAAAGACTTGTCAGAGGTCAGAATGAAGGAGAAACACTTCAGAATAGTTTCGTTACAGGTAGAAATATGCTGCTTCCAACCAAGTGTCTCTGGARATCAATAGTGCTAGCAGTGTCTTAAGAGAGGTACATCACAAGATGCTTCTCCTGTGGAGCAGTCTATTGCTTAGGCTCAGTAATTTTGTGGCCATACAGGGACAAAAACAACTCATTTTTACTTCAAACCTTCCAAATGTCTTTCCTCATGCCAGCACAAACTGCTTCAGCCCATGATTAGAAAAGAGTGAAAACAGGTATGATTATGTAGGAAACCATTAAAACTAACATACATTTATTCAAATTCTTAATATTTTAGATTTTCATGTTGGAATATGATACTTGATGCATTTCAAAGTATAGACAGCATAAGCAATACAAAATTTTGACTCAAAAAGCATGGCAGTTGTTAAAGTAAGAATCAACTAATACTCAGTTCCTTTGCCATGCTTTTCGTTGCAATTTAGACAACATTAAAAAAGAAACTAGCCAGATTTAGTAAATCACATTTTTTTCCCTTGATTCTTGTCTTTTTCAGCAGTAGTTGCTTTTCTAAGGGAGATGAATTCTGTCTGATTGCTAACTGTAGTAACTGCTTATTTCCAAATTCAACTATCAACTACCCATAAACTCAAATAAATACGTTGCTAACAAGGGAATATGTCTGTATTATATTTTGTATATGCAGATAAATATTTGGCACACAATTTATTCTTTCTTAATGCTTTAAAAGGTTAGAAATGGTAATGCATTTGTGAGTAGATGGCTATTTTATTATTAGTTATCTATATCAAGCTTAGTAAGCATTAACATAACTAACATTTTATCTCATATATAATTACTTTTTTAGGAAAAAATCATTCTTATGCTAAGCAGTGCTATTATATTCATGCTCAGGTAATCCAGATGCCCTCTCTGCAATATTCTGGCTTTAGTAATTATTAGAGGTCAAAAGGATGTGAAATACCAAATGTGTTTAAGATAAAAATGACCTCTAATTTAAATCTTTGATATTTTGCCTTTACTTATTGCTGTGATTTTCTGTACTGTATTTTCATACTTGCATAAGTTTACTAAATAATCAGAGTTTAAAAAGCTGAAAAATAATTGAATTTCATCAAACTGTGCTGATTACTAGTCTACTAGGAGATTACTTGTCTACTTGAGAAATGCTAATGCTTTCTGGTGCTGCTGGTGTATGACTGAGTTCTGCCTGTGGACAGTTTTATTTGTGACAGTTAATCCTCATTTCTGTGAGCAGGGAAAAAAAATCAARTATCTTTACAGGGAAAACTTCTATGTACCACACAAAATATTTYGTTCTTTGACAATACTAGCTACAGCCCTTTATATTCAGAAACCTCTAAATGTAAATTCAATAAAAGATACCGCTGTCTAATAAAGACAAAAAACAATCTTTAAACAGAAAGCTGACAAAAATTATTAGCAAATAAGATCAAGAATCTTCACTGGAAGAATCAAACCAGAAGAGCTCAATGAATTCAAAGTAGAAACAATATGCCTACATAAAAAAATAATTTAATTATATTATGATACTTTTCTTCTGGTGTAGGGAAAGCTAACTTAAATATTTAACCTAACTCTGCAAGCATAAACCAAAACATTTTGTGCCCTACAAATTCGGYTATGGCAAATATTAGAAAATAAATAGTATATACACTGGAAATGGAAGAGATTCTTTGCTGGAAAATGTGTCTTTTGGAAGTTAATGCAAAAAAATGGCCAAGWACATCCTGCAAAATCCTCTTTGAAACACAGCCACCAGTAAACCTACAACTGGTAAGAAATTCCAGTCTAAATTATCAGTAAAACAGCACAKGTGACATTCAATTTGCATTGTATATCACGCAGATCATGAAAGAGTTTATGAAGTTTTCTCTGCTAAGATTAGATTTTAGGCCCATAACATGCCTAAGTAAAGACAAAGGTTTAAGAGAACCATCTTTTTCTTAACATAGACAATTATAAAAAAGCTAAGTAGCAATGGTCAGATGACAGACTGAAAATATGCATTTATTTAACTGCAGTTCAGACTATCAACTGGCTTAATGTATAGACTTGGTTTTTTTTACTATCATATGCAGTGAGACAGCATATGCTAAAATATTTTTATGATGAAGATGATTTTTCCCACAACAAACAAAAAATTTACCCATAATTTCTACAAAAAAAGTGAGCAAACCAGGATAACAWGATGTTCTTTGGACATCTGGGCATGAACCCAGTGGGAGGGAGGCTGACTCAACCTGCTTGAAGCCAGTGAAGGTCTCACTCGTGCTCGTGTTTGGCTGGAAACTCAGCTAAATGGTGGCCGTGGTTCCTCCTTCAGTAGGGCTTTCCAAGGGATTGGGAAAGAAATAGACTGAAACTCAACCGTATTCCTTTTCTGAAGGATTTTCAAATGCCGAGAAGGTTAAAAAAGGAATAGGCAGAAGTCCATTAGCCCGTGCCTATGGGCTAAGGGAGGGGGAAAGGCGACAGAAAGAGATCTATCATGGCAGATCCCAGACTGAACTCCCTCTGGCTCCACTTCTAAGACTAAGCCCAACATGAACAGATGGAGAGAAGCCAMTTCTCGCCTAGATCTGCGAGCCACAGAGGGAGAACAGGAAGGATATCTCCCCAATACGGAAGAAATCTTCTCCTCTGGAGGAGAGGCAGGTTTGATATTCTAACAAGCCTTTTATCAGCGCTTACTGCCAATACCCAACACTTCCACGCTGTGCGAGGAAACAAGGGAGAACCTCTCTAAGATGTCGGAGCCTCAATCACACTAAGCTAACGAACGTCATGCCAGCGAGCCCAAAATCCGGAAGAAAACCGGAAAATGGTGTCTCAGACTCCCGTCCTCTCCGGATTCCCAGAGGYCTTGGCCGCGCTGCCGCAGGCCGCCTCACGCCCCGCGCCACTCGCACATCTGTCAGCCACACGTGTCCCGTTCCACTTAACAGCTTCACTCAGCAACTCGCCTCACGTCTCCCGCGCAGAGGGTTAGTGCTCTGTCAATTCCCCATTCATTTCTAATTTGTGAACTTTTAATCTCACGCCTGCTGGTTTTTTTTTTTTTTTTTTTTTTTTTTTTTTTTTTTTGTCTCAGGAGAATGAAAAGGTTTTGTACTTTTTAAGTGGGAATACTTTTATGAGGTCCTTTAAAGACTATGCTAAATTACTTGTGTAATTACTGACACAACTGAAGACACGTTTGACACGACAAGCCCAGGGATACCTCTTAACAGATAAATTTCTGTAAAATTCTGCTCACTGCCTGGAAGTCCCCCCTCATCCAAAAATCTTTGAAGTTTGCAGGAACTTTATTTTTATATAGTTTCCAATAGAATTTAACAAATTGGAATTAACTCAAATGTCTCACGRTAGACATATTTTTTCCCCATTTAATTCCTCAATGGAATTTCA